CCCGTGATCATTATCTCCCTTTACCAATCCATGCTCCCTCTCTCCCTTCATCCCTCCCTCCCTCCATCCATCCATTCTCCCTCTTTCTCCCTCAACTCCATCCTTGCCGTCTTACTACTCAATCCCTCTCTCCGCTTTCTTCCTACCTTACCTTGTCAGTTGGCTCGATGATACCTGGCGCTGTGGCTGGAGCTGTATTCAATGTGTTTGCGGTGACTCGGGTTGAGCTCCTTGCTAAAGTCAGCACCTTTTCTCTCCCCCTCCCTTTTCTCCTCTTCTCACGCTACATAGGAAATCTTGTTGATCGCAATCATGGTATCCGTCGCCGCCTCTATCTTCTCCCTCATCTTCATAGAAAAGCCTTGCAGTCCGCCCAGCACGGAGGTGAGAGGAGAAGAGGACGGAGATTACGGAGGAAAGATTCGCTGACGCTCTAGAAAGGAATCAGCCTCCACCAACGCTCCCGCCCTTTCCTCCATCGTCACGATGCTCAAGGTGGGCCTATGGTGTGGGAAGACCCTGCGGCTCTCGTGAGAGGATGTCCTGCAGGACTACAACTTCCTCATCCTTCTCTTCGTCTTCACCTTGGATGGATACGGATGGGTTCCTCTCTCCTCAGCCTCCGGCCGGCCGTGACGCTCCTTCCAGGGTCTCATCCTGGTCACTAGCATCCTCAGCGACATCGGCTATGGGCAGGTACTGGCCCAGCTTGTTCGGAGGAGGTGGCACTGTGATCAGGGAGACAGCATGAAGCAGACATCGTCATGTCGATCGCAAGTACCGACTGTGTCCTGCGACCTCGCGCTTGGCTGATTGCTGTCTCGCCCGCCTTCAGGATGGGGGTCCATGTCCCCACTCATCTTCTCTCCTATCGCTGACATGTTGAGATCTCGGGACGAGAGGTGATGGGGTGGGACGCGGAGCTCCTACCTTGACCCACAACCTCGTTAGGTGGCCTGTGTGGATCATGCAGATCTCGCAGACAGGAAGTCTTATTGCTCAGCTCGGTCTTACCTTCTCTCTTGCTCCTAAGATGTTCAGGTGATGAATGCTTCTCGTTGGAGGGTACAGGGCGTGACTTGCCCCACAGCTCCATTGCGTTTTGCTTCTTCTGGGTCGGATTCTTCACTTCTGCAGCTGCACCAATCCTCCTGGTGAGATGCAGGAGAAAGACGATGAGAAAAAGGATCAAGGCAGCAATGAGGGAGGAGTTGGGCTCAGAGACGATCTGCAGCTATGTTGGAAGCAACCACTAGAACTCAACTTGTTTGCAGGAGTTGGTAGCTGAAGTCACCTATCCCCAGCCAGAAATCTACTCAGCAGGTACCCGGTGTCCGGTCGATCGGGGCCCAGCCATTCTAACCCCTGCGGCTTCCTCCTACAAGGTGTCTGCCTCACAGTGTTTGGAGTGAGCACCTTCGGATTCGTCCAGCTCAGTCAGGTAGGGCTGCGAGGGAGCTGGAGGGCGATGACCTGTAGTGGTGGCGGTCAGGTGATGGCCGTCTCCGGCATGGCTGGATACATCAACTTCCTCTGGCTGCAGAACGTGCTGTTCTTCGTCAGGTGACATGCCAACCCTTCCGACTGCCCTCTGAGTCGTCACAGCGTCGTCCTGGTCCTCTTCTCCTTCAAGGCAAATTTGAAGCGCACAAACCGAGCACTGGATCGTTCGGTGGACCTCCCGATGCTCCTCCCTCCGTCTTCTGACTTGTCTCCCGCAGCAAGTGCAGGGCGGCATCTTGTCCGACCCTGTTGGCGAGGGGTTCGAACAGCCCTTGTCACCCTGAGGCGTCAAAGGTCCATCAGTGTGTACCATTGCTCAGTGAGGGAGGGAGGGTGAAGGGAGGAAGAATCGTTCCCTTCCTGCGCTTGATGACTCGCATCATGGGTGAGAGTACTTGAGGTACAGGGAAGCCGGAACCCCCACTACAAGTCAAGTTTGCAGTCTGAAGACTCTTGGTCCTTCCCTCCACTCCAACCAGAAGCTCGTCGATAACAGAAGCAGTTGTCTTGCTGGCACAACTACTTCGTAGAAACTTTTATTCTTTGTCACTATTCTTCATTCCGTGTTGATAAATCGAAGCAAACAATCATCCCGTTGCACACTTTCGCTGCAGGTTCCCCCCTTCAGGATCGAACTCAAAATGTCCCTCTACCCTGACATGTCTCATATCATCCTCACTGGATGAGCTGTAGAGACAGGAGCAGGCATAACAAACACAGCAACTGCAGCATGCTCGCCGGGGGAGAGCCTGAGGCCGATGAGAACGGGTTGAAGCAACTGGAAGCATCAGTGCAGGACCTGACGAGCTTCAAATTCTCGATCTGCGCGGTGATCTGAGAGCTAGTCATGTTGCATAGAGTCTCACTCCTCATCTGGTAGGATCGGCAGCATCGCAACGTCGCAACGTGACTTATCGAGCAATCAGAGTCAACCAAGCATCCGCTCTGCCTGTTGGGAATGTAGAACTTGCAGTAGTCGCTGCATGTGACGGAGGACAGCGACTGCAAGGAAGAGTCAGAAGAAACAAGACCAGTTGTTTGCTCACCTCGTAGATGCCACAATCATTAGATGCTAGAGTTTTGCATGCAGAATCATCCTTTGGCGCAGTGATAGAAAGGTCCTTTGATTTTGCAATATGATTCTGAGCATCTTGAAGAGAAATGCAGGATCCGTAGCTGACCGTGATTTTGCCGCACTTTCCTGCTCAACCTCAGCAACGAGGATAAGGAGATAACGGATGAGACGCACCACCATCAATGTCGGGCATGGTTGCCGTATAGCACTTTTCGGTTTGAGATCTGACGAGCAGGAAGGTGGAGCAAAGGACAAACAGGGTCTTTGCTGTCTTGTTCATCATCTAACTCACTGGCATGTCAATCTCATCCTCTCCTCTTCGCTCCTCTCCTGCGTCCTTACGGTCTCGACGATGCGCGATCAACGGATGAGTCAAATTTGTACCACCGGTGGGTGCCAGTTTTACTCATAACCCCAGCTGCTGGTACAAATGTTTTAGTCAAGGGGAGGGCTAATCCCCTGCTAATAAATGTGGCCCAGGGGTTCGAGTCAAAGGGCCACCTTCGACCTGATGCTCGGTGCGCATCAAGGGCCGTGGTCCCTGTATGACGAGTCGCGTGCTTCCCATTGTGAGACTCAAGAAGATTGATGCCTCAGCAGCTCAGGAATGTCAAGATGAACGGTCTCCATGAGATAAACTTGTATATTCAATATGATTGGCAATTAATCACTATCAATTAGTACCGCTGCAGTGCTCAGGGTGTACAACAAGGCAAGCTTCCTATTCATGCCCTTGATTCGTAAATTGAAAGAACCGAGCCTGTCACCATCACGACGGATCTGACTCTAGAAGCGATGATATTTGGCAGTACATGTTATAGTATGGTTTGTAATGTGTTAAGTGAATGTATCAGTTAAGTGCAGAAATAGGTTTGGTTCTCGCTGTCTTTTCTCTTCTCGCCGTTTGGCCTGTGCGACAGTGTCAGGTCAAGCCTCCTCGACTCTCCTGATAGGGCAGGCTCGTACTCAGTGATTTTTAACTGAACTTGGAGTAAAGAAGACTCACTGAGTCAGTGACGTCGCTGATCGGCTAAACCGACCGTACCTCTTCAGGGCCGCCGGCCCGGGGCCCGGATCCATGGAAGGAGTACTATGTATCTGTAATATAACGGGCCGTCACGGCACCAGCCGTCACGGACCAAAACTGGGCATGTGCGGGCTGTATG